TAGAAGCAAATATTCAAATTAGTGTGCGTGCCGTTGGATTTGAAATGTTAGCTTGGCTATTGGCATGAGGAAAGATTTTAACTTAGCAACGCAAAAAAAAACACAAAACAAATCAGAAAGACAATGAAGGTAAATATCCCAATGACTGAACCAACAAGTACGATTAGTTTTACATTTTTATAAATAAATTTACGAGAAACGAATACAAATAAACATAAAATTTAATCAATCTCTTGCCAAAGAGAAGCAGATTATCAAAGTTGTGGAAACTTATCAGTGCAATGTAAATGAATCAATATGAATGACAAACGATAAGAACACAAGATTCTCGTGAATATTTGTAAACTTCGATCTTTCGTTCGGATCAGTAAAGTCACAACGAACACGTTGCAATGTCAACATATCACAATATATGTAAATACAAAACATAAAATTCCTAATTCGTTACATTTACGAACGATTCTACGCGATTTATTACGATTATTTTGTTTTATAGGAAATTGACGATGAAAAGCGAAATGTTTGCGGGTTCTTGACATGCATTGTACATACGATTCAAGTGTAGGGTTAATCTGTAACTATCGCGAAGAAGTTTTATTGTGACATATTTCAAATTACGAAGTTCCAAGATATTATCAAACATATAAAATGTAAATATTTCATAAAAATATTTGTGTTCACGAATTTACACATGTTTGTGTGTCAATTCGTTATTAATTTCGACACACACACATTGACGGATTTATTTTCGAGAACCTTTTTTACAATCGAATTCACGTTTGTTTTGAAATATCTCGCTATAGCAGTTACGTCGGCAAATGATAGTTAAGGCTCCTGATTGCTCACCGCGTCTATCTTAATTTGTTAATCTGTTAATATGTTTCTCCAAGCGAAAATATGTATGTTTAAAATTCCTACAAAATACGATACGTCGAAATGAAAAGATATACCCAGAAAATGACACTTGCGATCGATCCCGAACATTGCTAAAATATCCAAACACTTTTCTTTTGCTCTAATAAACAATCGTAATATTCACATAACAAAGTGATGAGGAAATGTAGGTTGAAAAGCAATGTCACATATTATATTATTTATTAATTGTTAGAGTAAAAGGAAAGTGTATGTGTGTGCTGAATCAATTGTAAATGTTTATTTTATATCTTTTGATTTCGATGTATTCTTTGTAGGAATTTTGTAGGACGTGTACTTCCTCACTTCTGACGTCATCAATTAAGAGTTTCGCGGCGAGTAGTCGACAGCCTTGAGGAGATCAATGATCGCGAGGCAATGCAGTATTCGCAGTGACTTTTTCGTGATGTTTGACTTACGAGGTCGCCTGGTCGCTATGAAGAGAAGATGTCTCGCCAGCATGTCGAGGTATTGGCGGGAACCGCACTGATCGAGCTCGGAATCACGAGCCGACTTACGAGCGAGCGATTCTGCGTATCAACCGACGGCCGGCGACTGTCTGTCTAGCGACAAGGGGACTTTCCTCCCCGTTCTTGCACCGATAACGTCTTATCGTAACGCCGTGCTACAGATCGGCGCGAAGCACCCGAAGACCTCCGCCGATCTTCCGGAAGGGGTTTCCGTTATCTCGAGTACTCGATGGACGAAAAGACGAATACTTGGGAGAATAGTCGTAGGAAATTATGAAATCGATATCAGTCTTAAAAACGCGCGCACTCGGGTTGTCGTTCGACGCGATAATCTCGAGAAACGTAACATTGCGTGCTGATGCCGAAATACAATCTCTATCGCGGCACCGAACAGCCTATCGCTACTCGCAGTCTTAGTGTCCGAACGAATCTAAGTGTAGAAGAAGTTTGTGAACGCGAAGCACGGACGGTTTCGCGACTCGATCGTAAGGACGATCGTAGCGAAGCACACTGAAAGCGCCGGCGTGCACACGAAAGTATTTCAATCCTCGGCCGGGATTTTTGTTTATCGGCATCTGGCTATTATCGTGCCGGGATAAACATCGCGTCTGATGCAACTCCGTTGGTTATTGAGCCAGCAGCTAATGACGCTGATAAGGACTAACAAAGTGAGTCTTCATTGGGTGGCATTCCGACACGATAATTCACCATTTTCCCCTTTGTCAAGGAAAGTTTCAGAGGAAAGTTTTAGCGACTCTCTTCCGCATAAACCCGAATACATAAAACAAGTATAACGAACAAGTAACAATATCTGAATGCTCGATTTTAGCTCATCATACTCCCAAAAAAATATTATCTTTTCCTTAACGAAACTCTCTTATACGTGGATTCTAGAAGATTCTTTTACAATTAAAAGAAAAATATTCCAACACCCAAAAGAAGAACTCTAGTTACAAGCAATCTTATATTTTACGTAAAAATTCTTGGAATATTCCGACAGAGTCGAAAGTACTTGTACGCCAGGACTATTTCCAAACTTCCACAGGAATTAGTTTGTAAAAAAATTAGTTGCTCGGACGTGCTTGGTGCCAAAATGTTCGTGATAAAACATAATTTAAGAAAATATAGGTCTGTGATTTTATTGCTCGTCGCAAAGTATACATATTGACTGAGGAAATTTCGACTAATAGTCGGTTGTGTTGGAGGAAAGGTCTGAACTAATGGGAAATCCTGATTTGGATTTTTCTCAAAACTTGGTCAAAATTTTTCTTCGAATAGAACAAGAATTTGTTTCGAGGAGAAGAAATTGGTCGGATCTAATTCGTCTCGTTGATTAACCTTGCTGAGCGCCATTCCCCGGCGAGCTAATCGCAACAGAACTATTGAACTCTAAAATCTTCCACGCGCGAGGACCGTCATCATTTGATGATAGAGCGCTCTCAGCGTTTATCTCGTTACAGAATTAAAACATCGTTCAGGGATCGTCGGCCGAGTCGCAGCTGGGAAGATCAGACGAGTGTTAGATAGGGAAAACGTGACCGGTACGCGCTCCTCGATTATCTTTGTTCATGTCGCGCGAGAAAAAATCGTGCGAACTCGTTATCGTGACCGTCGAACGGCTCGTTTGCCCCCGTCAATTCGATGGAGTGACACCCGCTCCCCCTCCCTCCCCTTTTTGCATAACACACTGCAACATACCGATATCTCCCCCGCGACTGCTCACTTCTCGCTCCAGTTGAATCTGATTAGACCTTGATTCCGCTCATCATCCGGTCTATTTTACGCGATGATCTTACCGTGGTTATTTAACGCTTCGAAATCGTTCTTCGCAGTTATCGCCGCGGTCGCGGACTCTTGGAAGCTAAAAACATTTGGGATACCTTAATGCCCGTTGTACAAAAAAACTTTGCCAATTTTACTGTCTCTGGTTTCTCAACGAGTTATATGTTCTGTTTTAATTGGATTATTTTATTTATTTAAAAGTTTTGACCTTAAATATGAAACTTTAGGGAAAAAATGTTATATAAATCATAAATCAATTTTTTAAATATATAATTTTGTTCTATATATCTATATATATCGATATACGAAATATCTATTGCACGAAAATTTGTTGCAATTCATCATGCTCTTCACTAAAAAAAAATCTTATTCTTACGATATCAGCTTAGGATGAAGCAACATAACTAGAATCACTTTGATAACGTCCTAAGTTAACAAAATAGATTCAAATGAATAATGAATGAATATGATTTGAAAGGGACTATACGATGCATTATCTAAATTCTTTTTGTCACTTTTTTCAATCATATTGAACATTATGATTTTTAAACGACTCCTATCCGATTTGTTGTATTTTGAATGTAACAATCCACCGTTACGGTTCCGAAACGAAGTTTATATATCGTTTATATTATGTGCTTCACTCTGTATATAACTGTATCGATTTCTCATGCCATTAGAATCACCCCCATAAAAGGGCAGACTGCGAAATGGACTCGGCGAGTACAAGCGCACTCGACGCGGCATAAGACGTTATCGTACTGTCCAAGCGTGTAATGATCGTCGAGCAAAGCGACGAACGAATAACGCGACGATCCGTTTGTTTTGCTAGACGCGGTTCGACTCGCGTCAGTTCGCGTTAAACGCGTACTTTATCTCGTTGCCCCCGCCTCATATCAGTATTGCAAAACTGACGTTGCCAACACGCATGCTATCGCGACATTCTCTACCAGATTTCGGTGTCGTTGCTAGAGTACTTGAGTACCCTAGCTGGTTCCAAGTCCAAAGCCCTTGGTCTAGGACTAGTCGGTCCTGCCTGAATAGGCAGCGGTGACGTTAGGTTCATATTAAAGCCCACGTTACCGCCAACCTGCGGCTCCGGACTGGAGATCGTCTCGGGGTAATTGATCCTCTCCTTTAGCAGCTCCTCCTGCAGCTCCTCGGAGGGCGTTCTACAAATCTTGGACTTTTCCGCGTTGTTCGAGAACTTCTTAATGAACATAATTGGACTGTTCGCCATGCGATAACTCTCGCTGCGTTTCACTTTACGGTCGGTCTTGCCACAACCCTGCGCCGAACAATCGGACCTCCTGCTGGTCTGATTATCCGTGGCTGAGAGTTCTGTGTGATCGATACTCGAGCTCTTGTCGCTGGAGTCGCAATCGTTGAGCAGCGATGTCGCGCTCTCCTCGACCGTGTTCCGATTGTCAGACGCAGCGGGGTCAAAGCTCCGTCGACAAAAGCTCGGAGTATCGAGATCCGAGACCAATAGTTTCCTACCTAATTTAGGCGTGTTGCCGGTCACCCGCAAGATCTTTGGGCAGAGGCCTGACTTGTCCAAATCTATTCGTAAATTCGCGGGGTTGTTGAGGCTAACCTCGCGATTGACCGCGGACGACGGAACAATCGCACGGACATTCGTCGTGCAAGCGTCGCCGTTGAGCTGCGGCGGCTGATTCTCGTCGTGGACTCGACTTCTTAGAGTTCTCGTCTTGGACTCGTCCTTAGAGTGTGAGGCGATCACAGACGTGCGTGGTGCGGCTTCTAATCTACCGGTGCGGCCAGTGCAATCGCGCTGCTCGTCGGCGCTTGTGCCGGACGTGGACGTGGTCTTACCTTCGTCGCCTTGCACGTTGACGTAAGCCCCGCGGACTTGTCTGTGGGGACTGGTCGGACTCGTAGGACCGACCACGGTTGCCGGCGTGCGTACGTAATCCGGACTGGCCGCGCGATCCGGACTCCGCGCTGCCCGTATGATCAGTTTGCCCAGCTGTGGAGACGTTGGCGGCGTGGATCGACTGAAACCATCCACGGCGTCTCCGCTCTTTGGCACGGCACGGATGTTCGGCATTGCGCGATGCAGCAACGGCGACGGGCTAGGTGACACGCCTTCCCGCACGAAGGGACCTCGAAATAAACGTGTCGCGTGAAAACATGAACATATTTAAAAGATTTCTTGACGGAAATAAAAATTGAATGAGATGACTTTAAAATATGGCAGTTTTAAACACATTTACACATCACGAATTAATTTTTATTTACGTCTTTTTTTAAATATGTTCATTTAGAACTAAATGGAAGAATTTCACTAATTTTCATGAAGACTTGGTGGCGTGTAAGCGTGTAGATGCTTGGTTAGTGTAGTAAGTTTGGAATGTAAGTTTAGGGTCTTGAGTTAAGTATGAGGAAAATTAAGTAGGAACGAGTGTATAGATAGTGTGTAAGTGAAGACGAAACAAGACATTAGGTAGGAAAGCAGGATTCAGGGTGGAAAAAGTACATAGGTAATAGAGGTTATGGCGTCATAAGGAACGAGTAATGTAGGTAATGTAGGCAAGCTAAAATTAGTATGGTAATGTAGAGAAAATTATCGATAGAGGAAGTGTATAATAGGTGGTAACAGAAGACACAAAAGATGGAAGAAGAAGAGGATACAAGAAATGAGGAGGATATATGATATAGAAAATTCCTTCTTGGCAATGTAAGCTGAAGGAGACATATAGGAAGTGAAGAAAAAAGCAGGGGAATCATTTCATGAAGTTCTGATACACTAAGTTTCATAAACATTGGAGAACGAAAAAGGGTAGATTTTCTTGGGGGATAGTGCAGTCAGAATTATATTAGCGTTTCGATAAATTTGGATAATTCAGACAAAGTTGAAATTTTCCCGATGACAGTTACTTTTCAATCATGATAATAGTGAGTCGTGGATAATCGAAACTACCTACCTGGATTGAACGTTGTATGCGCTCCTTTCCTCCTCTTCAAGCTGTCCGACGAGTACACGACCTTTCCCTCAGAATCCAGAGTGACGCGAGCACCCTGCCTCTTCCTTTCCAGCGAGGAATCTGGCTTTTTCGGCAGCTCGCTTAAGCTCACGTATTCTGCGTCCTTCTTGAAGATGTCGGAATTAGCGTAGGTGGCGGCAGGTCGGACAGGAGTCATGCCCGATGACGATGATGACGACGACGAGGGTGGGCCCGGACGCTTATCGTTGTTGTTCCTCACGTCGGCTATGGTCACATAGTCGCCGGAGTCTGGATTCGACAACTCCTGTATAGCGCCATTCTTCGTGGGTTGTTTCCTACCCGGAAGCACGCCACGAAGTTTCCCCAGAACACCGCTTAGTGGACTGATCTTCATCGACGGCTGGCTGGTTGTTAGCGGCCTGTCGTTGCCGCTTGTGACTGGCAACACCTGCACGGTGGCGTACAAATTCTTGTCTTGGCCGTTGATAACCTCCATCTTGGAGGTGCCAACGGTGGCGGACATCAGCACCGATCCGCCACTTTGAAGATCGGACCGTCTCGGGTCGTTCTTTTTCTTCTCGCTTTGTTCTGTTTCTCGCGTGTGTTCGTCGTCGGAACCAGGTGGTGTGATCACACACATCGAGGGAATTCGACTGCTAGTGATCGCCGTCTTCGAGCGAATCCTTTCAATACGTTCGCAGCCTTCCAGATCGCTCGACTCTGAATATTCGAATTCGGAGCATGATCGACCTGTGCAGGCTGGACTCGAGGCGGATTCGACTGGTGACGATGATGTGTTGTGTCCGCTATCTGGTGACTCGCCGCCGTTCTGATTTTGACCGTGGACCTGAATAAAGGAAAATGAAATTCTTGAGAAATAAGTTGAAAAAAGCTGAAGAATAAGTGCGATACACTAGTACATAAATAAAGTGAGTGAGAAAACCGAATTTTGAACTCACCATAGCAACAACCGTGAGACTGGACTTGCGTTCCGGGGGAGGTGGTGCCATCAACGCGGTGCAAACCGTTCCGGCTGAACTGGTCGTTGTAGAAGTCGATCCTCTGCCGAATAGTTCATACTCGTTCTCGATGACCGGCGAGGTAGGATCAGAGCTGATATCGTTGGATTTGGTCAAAGGGCTTTGTGGCACAGGTTCTTCCTCTCTAAGTGTTTTTAGACCAGAATCCATGTGGAACGAGGTGTAGTACCCTTCTGTGTCGCAGGAATACACAGAGGATGTCTCACCGTCGTCAGAAAATGGTACCACCGTGATATCTTGTATGATATCCGGAGTTAAGGTACCCTCAGACGTTACTGAGGATGAGGCCGACGTATCCCTTCCTTTGAGTCGCCTCATGTGACTCAAAGAAGTGGAAGACGTGCCAATCGAAGCAGTTGTCGTAGACCTACAATGATGATGTATTATTAATTGAAAAAGTGCAGGTTCTTAACGTAAGCGCAAATTTTTTCTCGATGATGTTTGAATAAAAAAATTTGTACTGAGAAGAAAATACTTAAAAATTCGCTTGTGAGAATTTTCAAACATGCTGTGCATAAACTTATCCCACAAATAAATTTTCAAATATTTTTTTAATGTAAGAAGCACTAAGATGATTGTAATTTATTTCAATATGATCACTGATTTGTTAACTCCACGATAGGCGAGATTTAATCAAAATGGGCGATTTAAACTCGTGATCATACGTTAGATCGAAAGTTCGTTCCGAGAGCACGAGGAGGTTTCGCTCACCTGGGTTGATGTGTGGTAGTAGTAGTCTCACTGCCGATGCTGGCCCTTCCGCTCTCGGACGAGGCGCTCCAGTTCCCTGAGCTTGAGTGCGGAGCGTCGTCGCGGTTGCTGCCCTTCCGTCTCTCTCGCCTCTGGGCGGCACTCTCGCGCAATTTCACGCTCGGCTGTTTGTCTGTACTCGGCACCGACACCGGTATACTGGCAGTGCTCTTACCACTCGAACTGGACGAACTGGGCTTCCTCTCGTGCGACTTGTCCCTTCTTCGTCTCGTCGTCACCGTCTCGTAGATGTTGATCTCTTCCGGCGACCTCGTCTGGCCTTGAGTCTGCTCGTCCCTTTCTGTGCTAGACGCGACAACCGCCGATTCTTGTTGTTGTTGCTGTTGCTGCTGACTCGATCTCGGGCTAATCAACTTCAGTCGGGACATGCCCCACGCCTTCAACGTATTGAAGTGTGACTTCTTTTCCGTGGGCGAGTCCTTCTTCGTGGAACCCAGGATGTCCGTGCTCGCTGAGCGATGGGCTCTCGGCGTGGCATTCGGCATCGTCTCCTCGGGTTCGTCGCCGGTTGTCTCCCTGTAATAATAAGTAATGTAAATGACGGCGAACACGACGTGCCGATGAGAGCGACTCGCGCGTTCAGAAGAAGAAACACTTTTAGAAGTGAGAGAAATATGAAGATGCACGTTATGAGCATGATTAATTAGGCAAGATTTCGACGTGCGGTCTTATTACAGATTTATCATCTACGTGTATTTCAATTGGTATGAGAGGGCTCGAGTCGTCAGAGTTCTCATGGGAGGTCCCGCGCGATCGAGACTATGAGATATCACGCGACAATGATACGGAGATAATCAGCTAGTATTATCGCGGCAATAGGAGTACAAAGGCAGCGAGGGAGATTCTTCGTGGTTGGACGACTGCGAAAATATGAGCGCGCTTTATCGAGCGTGACAAATCGCCGACTCTTTTCGAGGCATAGATCCGTGGACCGCGTCCTTGCTGTAACAGAACTGCCACGATAAGAAGTTCCGAGCAAAATGCATACTACTCACTCGCTCACGCGAGTATATTTATTATGTCGTAAAAGCTGAAGGTTGCGAGAGCTCGCCGGATGGTGCATTAATCTTTTCAACGTTCAACGATAGCGCTTAGTAATCTTAAAAACGATGTTAAGAAATCCACTTTATTGTACGGGTCGCGAACGTGAAACAATCGCGAGACCATCATTCTCCAGAATGAAATTCTAATCGTAATTCGAAATTCACAGTGTACACGGAAAAAAAGGTTTGGTTGAATTAACCAAATATCTGGTCGAGTATGAACGATCCGATTGAAGTAACCCGAATTCTGTTTAAGTTAACAAGATGTTTGGTTCATTTAAACAGAATTCGGGTTACTTCAATCGGAATTTCTGAATCGTTCATATTCAAGATATTTGGATAATTCAACCAAATTTTTTTTCCATGAAAAAAAATTAGAATTGGAAAAATCACGTTTATTGAAAAATCTGAAATATAATTGAAAAAACCTATCTTGAAAAAATATATCTTTTCCGGGATTCTCCGCTTGAGAGTCACAGGATTAAAGACTAGGATAGGAGTAGGAAAATACTAACCCTCCGATGGCTTGCCGAATCTCCTTCTGATCGGTACCAGCGATTGTGTTTCGTCTTTTTCCCCTGGGCCTGCGTGGTCGTGATCGCCTCTTCACTGTCGTTTCCTGAGTTTCCGCCGGTCCTGACAGCAAGGACCTTCTCCTCGTCGACATTCTTTCGAAACCTCGTCCGCTCACATCCACCGCCACGATTTCCGCCGGGAATCTGCGGTGAAGACGTACATTTTGGATCACAATGGGGGGAGGCTTGTTGGCATCGATACAAAACTGCATGGCTTCGGAACGGGTATACGACAAGCCGGATAAGAGGAAATCGTCTGACAGACTTCTGGCTTGTAGAAGCTTATGTATCTGTCTCATATATATATATATATATATATATATATATATATATATATATATATGCATGTATGTATGTATTACATTAGGATTTTATTCTCATTGTCCCAAGAATCATTCAAAGAAATAGCTATTTCCTCTCACAGCTCCATTTTCTCTGTCAATCTTCTAATTGCTATTAGATCGAATTTCAGGATTGGAACATAAAAATCTTATATTTTTTATGTATGCATATCGTCTATCTTGCATTACGAGTTAAATTTTAATGACTCCTTTCGAATTTAATAAAGAACTTGTTACGATTTTAACGAGAATCTTTAACGAGATCTTTAACGAGAATGAATGAAATTAGAGAGACTCGTTATTATTATAATTGAAAATATTCGTCAAGAGTACTTCGTCAAGAGTATTTTCAAAGTAATCTGACTGTTACTTTCGCGTATAAAATCTATTAAACATACTTAAGCCATTAAAAATAATCGCCAAAAGTATCTTCCAATGACTGAAATATCACTGACACATTTTTGATGAATTTGATACGCGGAAGTAACAAGCATGTTACTTTGAAAACATATTTTCGACGGCGCGAAAGTTTCCTCGTCTTTATTCCGAACGGCGGTTTCTACTATTTTCGTTCTATCGGCGATCAAACGACGTATTGAGATAAACCGCTTACTTGAGCGCGATAGCCTGAACCTGTTCCTCGGGGCTTGGTAGCTTGTGATCGACGGCGTCGTCGCTGGTTGTGTCGCCCAGGATCCTGGACATGCAGTCCGGCGGTACGGTGACGTCGCCGAGCGCCTCTGCGGACGTCCATCTTCGCAGATCCTCGATAGCAGCCGGCTGCAACACACCATGTCGTAATCACGGCGCAATAAAATCACCGCGCCTCGCGATATACCTATTTTTGCGCGGTTTGTCACGCCATTCCATTCAATTATCCGTATTTATCGTACTTGTGTCCGTGTATACGAAAACACGCACGGTCAATGAAAATTCTACTTGAACACAAAATAGATCTGTGTGTGATAACCCTGGTAGAAATTAAATGCAGTTTTCCAGCAGTTATGCTGGAGAGTTAAACCGAGTCGAAATTTTAATCCTACCAGCTTACCAGGTGTAGAAGTATGAAACCGGAATTCCCCTATAAATGGTGCCAGCGTTCAGTTTAGTGACCGTAAGACCGCTACTGCCGCGCTATTATATTCTCCTAACAGCTGACGAATATTGTCAACAAACATAACCCCAACTTTCATTCTCTAGTATATTTTTGTATAACCTTAAACATGTCACGTTTCGAGCCTACTAACTATGATTTGCGGACAGCATTGATTTTCTGTTATCATTTAAAGAAAACTGCTGCAGAATCACATCGAATGCTTGTCGAAGCTTACGGTGAATATGCTCTTGGTAAATCTCAGTGTTTCGAGTGGTTTAAAAAATTCAAAAGTGGTGATTTTGACGTGAGGAACGAAGAACTATGAACTATGAACTATGAACTATGAACTGCTGAAACCTGGTCAAACCGTCAATACTAATCGCTACCAACAACAAATGATCGATTTAAATCGAACATTGACTAAAAAACGACCAGAATATGCAAAAAGGCAACACAATGTCATTTTGCTCCATGATAATGCCCCATCACATACAGCAAAACGGGTCAAGGAAACGATCGAGTCGTTCAGTTGGGAATTACTACCGCATGCGGCTTATTCTCCAGACTTGGCTCCGTCCGATTATCACCTGTTCGCATCGCTAGGACACGCTCTCGCTAACCAACGCTTCGATTCGTATGAAAATGTGGAAAAATGGCTAGATAACTGGTTCGCTTCAAAAGATGAAAAGTTTTTTTGGCACGGCATTCATAAACTGCCAGAGAGGTGGGAAAAATGTGTTCAAAACAGTGGAAATTATTTTGAATAAAGTATTATTTATCACTTTCGAACAACAGACGTCTTATTTGTATAAAAAAATTCCGGTTTCATACTTCTACACCTGGTAATCTACTAGCTTTGCCGAGAAGCCCTCTTTAGAACCTGCAAGCGGCATTTTATGTATTTTTCGCGAACTCCATACATTTCTACCAGCGCGTATGTAGTCTATAAAGTACCCAAATTTTTATCATATAGAAACAGATATCGATGACAGATCGCAACGATATCTCCAGCAAAAGAGAACCGAGAGAAAGATTTTGTAGATTTTACCTAATCGACTCGCTTTACACAAAGTGCGTGACTAGCCTGATCAAATAGTCAAACGGACTGTGGCGGATTTCTAAGCAAAACGGTGTGGTTTTTCGTATCGTCGTGTGAAAGAATGGTCGCGGTATACCCGACGCGTTTGCTCGGTGTCGTCGGGCGGACCCGGTCTCGGCCTCCACGTAACAAACGAGTCGCTTTCTTTTTGTCGCGGGATCCGGGAGTCCCGCAACGGTACGCGAGAGGGTGGCGGGAAACTCGACGCCGAGCCGAGAGAAAGAGGAGCGTTGTTTTACGCGCCGCGGCGACGCGTGGGTGTTAACCATTGTCGGGATGTCACCTCGCCGAGCGAACGGGTTTTACGCGCGAAATACGGAACGGATCGGGTTACCGTCGTCTGCTGACTTTTCCGTGCGATGCGCTCGCCGTGAAAACGACTGACTAGTTTTGCTAAACGGCGAAAAAATACGAATTCACCGTCACACTCCACGCCAATCCGGAGTAGGGTGTCCAACTTTTAGGTCCAGTTCCACTTTAAGGGGTTACAAAATCTTGACAAGAGTGAAAATCAAGTAAAATTTGGAAAGTATTAAAAAGTTGTAAACTAATAGGAATATGAATTGTTTATTACGTACGCTTATTATCTTGGTATAAAATAATTAGATTTTATGAGGAATATTAACATCACACACAACTTTGTCCAAATTCTGTTTTCGAAAGGAATCATGCTTCACACAAAAGCTTCAACATAAAATGTACTTTTCTTTCGTTACACAAATAGCGTATTAATAACGACAAAACGTAATAATAACATTTTATATTATTTATTTTACTTTATAACTCGGGAGAATTAGCGTCTCACGCATTAATTTGGGATTCCTTCATAGAGAGACGAAAATTGGGATGCCTCGCAAAATTCGGAACGGTTGGTCACCTTGATCCGAAGGGAGAGAAAACGACAAAGTTAAAACTGTTTCAAAGTCCTGAAACTGTTTCAAAGAAATGGGGTTCGACACACGAGACACCGTGAACTCCTCAATTACTCGGTGAAAGTTAATTACAGCGAATTAAGTGGGCAACGGGGTCAGATTTAACCCTGCCGTGCCATTTGAGAGTTAATGTCACGTCGTGAATTATCCCTTTGATTGTCGAGACTGCAATCTCCTTTTTACGCTTTTTTTGCGCTCGATATACCAAGGAAGTTGCCCTAACTCGATATTCCGTTTCTTCCGCGTTTCACAAAGTCCACGAGTACAATTGTGCCTATAAAGCGCTTCTCGGTCTCGGTTATGTTGCTTGTTGGAAAAATATCGATACGTATGAATGCACTTTCTCTCCTAATAAAAAGACTCATCTTACGCGCGGTAAGAAAAGATTAGATAATCGCGCCGCGAATTCATCACACAGATCCTAGTGTGATGTTAACTTTTACTTATTACGATATATAAAAGTGATATATTCAAATAGAAGTAGATTTATATGTCGTCGTTTATATTAATTCCTTAAGAGTGAACGTAGAGATATTTTAGGGATACTTTAGAATTTATAATGTTTTCCAAAAAAATATTGACAACTGTTGATCGACATATGTAAAACAGTGCTGTTCAAATTAACATTGAAGGGGGAGGTTTAATTAAGTATTTAAAGCTTTTTAAAACTAATGTTAATAAGAACAGAAATACAGACAAGTTTGATTGGAATGCCGTGACATTTTTATATTGAGAGGTAGAGAAAGGAATATGTGTGTACTTACGACTCTAGACTCGATGTCGAGGCTCTGGTCCCGCCTTCTCTTACCGAGTACGGGTGTGCAAAGAAACATATCCATCGAGCTGCCATCCCTCCTCAAGGAATCCAAACTTCGAACGGCGACTATGGCAGCGAGCTCGTATAGTTCCTTCAACGCCTTTGGCCTCGTATCCGGCGTGAATAGCCCCGTCAGTGGTTTATTCGTGACATGAAAATGCTCCGTCCTCGTCGCGAAAGTGCAGATATCCGATTCCGCTGTAACAGGAAGAAATGCCATCCTTAACGATCGCGTGTCGCCCGAGAGAAAGATTGCGGACGATTATACACTTACGTTAAATCGCTGAATATATTCGCGTGTTTACGCAATTTCTATCGTTTGTCACAAGACATCGCACGTATAATGAATATATTAACGTTTCTTCGGGTCGTCCTACCTTTATCGTAAAATCGCCTTATGATAGAATGTGATGACATAAATATAGAATGAGTCAATAACTATTGTCACTTTGAGTATCTTCGAAGCAAGAAACAAAGATGATTTTTAGATTTTCAAGGTTATTCTATTTAAAAAACTAGCTTCTCTCATAATGTTCTTATGAGCTTCTTATGGCATTGTTTTTCTGATTCCACGCATATTCAAACATATTAAATTTTGACACACGCATATCTAAATATATGCACGCATTCTTGAATGATTTCAACTGATCGTCAGCTGAAAGAAATTTTCCATTGAATTCTTCACATCGGATCGAAGATTAAAACTCTTGGCTGCATTTGTGCGTGAAGTATCTTTGGATATGCGCGGCATATTTTCTAAGAAGAAAAAAATTAGTCGAGTAATTGCGACATACGAAAAAAGCTCGAGAGATCAAAGACAAAGGAGAAGGAGGAATGTCACACGCGTCATATAAAATTTGAGAGGTGCTCACGACTGCATCCCTTTCTTCTCGCGGCCGTGCCATAATGCGGCATTTTACCTCTATAATATACTTTTTGTCGATCATGTGTGCGACCGATATCACGTCGCTGACATATCTTAACTGTAAACATGTTCCATTCACGGTTTCTTGCACCGCAGCGGGCGCAGGCGTGGAATCGGAAAAAAGGCCCAACTCATGCCACCCGCGCTGTCGAGGGGCATGCTTGATTCGTCGTTTCCGGTTGTTTTCAGAAACGGTTCCTTCCGTGACGGAACGGGGCCTTAATTTCTGACAACGAGCCCCTTCCTAGTGTTTTCAATTATAGACCAGGGACATTGATCTCATAATGCGCGTCAATTATGAAATAACGATTTATTTATGCACAGATAAAAATATTGTAGCAGAAATTACGACAAATTTTTTGCAATCTTGGACCATGCAGAATTATGATCAGAATTACTAAATATTCGCTTAAAAATTCATTATGCACATTTGATTTTTCACTACAAAATGGTTATAATTACTTCCACGTTATCGTAAGCTAGGCACAGATCGTAAAATTTACTATTTTTATAGTAATTTATACCATCGATATAGTCTAGCTTTACAGAAAACATTGTAGAAAGAAATTTGTAGAATTTCAACGTAATTTTTACTATAATATTTCCTCTGTATGAGAGCAAATTAAAATACGCACTTATCAAATTAATGTCTACAGCTGTGGAAACTTAATAGATGATATTCTTTTGCAGTTCTAAAAGCAAGGTCTTTGGATTAGACTGTATTATTAATCAACAGTACGATCGTTATCTCGATTTTTTATTAATTATTTATTTCTCGACGAGAGAGAGAAGTAATGTTAGAAATTTAAATATACCGATATACTTTGATCAAAAGCCGTGCCTATAGCGTGATATGAAATTATGCGAATTCACCATGACCTGAAACACACGCACACACACACACACACACATACGCGTACACACACGCGCGAACACGTGAGTCGAATGATGGATGAGTCATAATGTCTGACTTGTGTTTTTATCGGCGATAGTCGGTCGCGATTGTCGATCGCGAGACAATGAAATCCCGTAAACAGCTTTCTGCTCGCCAACAATTAGTTTTGTTATTTGGGGCGCCGTAATTGCCAACTTCTTTTTTTCGAGGACGCCTTTTTGGCCGGTAAATGCACGCGCCCCGACAATGCGGCGTGTTTTTCTCGCGGGCGCAATGCAGCGGTTCCATTATTGCGTGCTCCTTGTGTTTTATCCCGTCGTTCCTGTTTTGTTTCGCACAATACCGCGGAAGGGTTAATCACCATTGGTCCGACACGCGATAGGGTCGTATCCCCCTTTAGAATTCCGTCTCGCGATCCTCCCGCGAGTGAGTTCGCTGCATCCAATAACGTTTGCGCTCGCATCGCATGCTCGATTTGCGCTACGATGCTACGATAGAAACGCCACTCTGCGCGCTGCGATTCGCTCTGTAAAGCTCCGTCTTATCGATATGAACGAACCAAATGAACAATAACACGCCTATGAATTGCGATATTAAAGTTTTAGTGCATTCCAACTTTAAAATAAAAGATGATGTAACGTATTTAATATAAGACATAATAATATTAGGTAATAAAACAATACTCAAGAGTAGGTTCGGACTATTAATACTTTTATCTTAGATCCTGAACCAGAGAGATAATGTAGAATTTAGATTCGCGAAAATCGGCGATTTTGTGCGAAACGGCAGACGCATTTGAGAAGTCCGTTAAAAATTTCAAGCAGCGAGTGCTACTCCCTGTTATCAATCTCTCGGCGTCTACGCTCCAAATGGCTTCTGGAATACTTCGGCATTAAGAGTTACGCTAACGGTTCATTACGAGCAAAGTAGTAATATCGCACGACCGCTCCAGGCATTTATGCCATAGTGTATAAACAGAGTGATGCGTGTACGTGCGGCCCGCGAGCGAGAGAACCGCGCGCGCGGTGTGCTCTGAGCTGCAGTCCGATTCGATACAATCGTCCGTGGAGTATTTCTTACTAACCGTCTGTAACCTCGGAAGCCGATGCACATAACTACACCGGGTACAACCTTCTGCGGACGAGCGGGGAATCGACCTTCCTCCCCGTTGATGTTCTGCAATCTCATCGCGCGCGAATAATCGAGAGCCGCTCGAAGCTGCGCTCGGCGCTCGGATTCCCCCCGCAAAAAGAAAATATTCCCGCGCAAACGTTGATTTCTCTTGTTTATTAGATAGTTGCGGATACAAGTGTTCATCCCGATCGTTTATCGCAGTTGACGAGATTCCGATGCCCTCTTAAGATAGTTGCGTCATGAAACGAATTGAAAATTTTATGAAACTCGTAATATTGCCTAACTGCTAATGCAATTAAAAACAGATTGATCATTCGAAAATTGGGTTATTTGCAACTAAAGTTGACACTTTCTTTTAGTAAAGAACATGTGTTCTTTGAAGTTCTAGCATGCTATTTTTAATTTGTATACGCTGTAAAAAATCTTGCATACACAGTACGTAAACAAATGTCCCAAAAAATCCACTCTAAATTTAGTGTCGAAAATCATTCATTCACATGTTCATTCGTGTGTTATTTACATTATGTATACACTAGTACATACTATAATATAAATAACACACGAATGAACATATGAATGAGTTATTTTCGACACAAAATTTAGAATAAACTTTTTGGAACATTTGTTTACGTACTGTGTACGCAAGATTTTTTACAATGTATTTAATACCTTCCAAACGTGAGATTTTGAGAAACTTCTATGATATTATAAAGATTAATATATAAACATTACATAAATTTTAGAATTATTGGAGGAAATTATCGATAAAGAAATGTGTATAATAAGTGGTAATAAAAGAAAGAGAGAGAGAGTACACAAGGGATGGTTATAGGATATGGAAAAATCTTTCCCTAAATTTTACTATATAAAAATACAGATTTTTAATAAAATTTTCCTCACAAAAGATATTTTAGAAATACAACTTAAATAGTGAAATATATGTATAGGATCATAATTTTATTCGATAAATAGTGAATTTATGAGCGACTGTCTTACTGAAAATACGACATATAACGACACAATCATTTTAAACAAATCTCTATATAATTAGAGGAACCCGACGTAACGTACACCATTTCTGCTTTCAGGAATTCGACAATAGAAAACCGACGAGTCTTTGATTACGAGCGAACTGTCAACAGTTAGGGCCTTGAAGACCACGTAAGCACAGCGATGCTGTAATTCTGTATATATGTAAGTCATGTATGTGATTCTTACTTTCTCCGAGCGCGTCGAGTTTTGAGTTTCGAAATTCGCACGACGATAACCATATCATTAAGAATCTACGACGATCGATGGTTATCTTTCATTACTCGGCGTTTTCTCGGCCCAGCTCGGCCTGACCTTTGCGTTCAGCATCGCGCTTTTGCGTTTCGACCTTTGCATTTCGTTCATTGCGCTTGAAAGTGGCGAGCATCGGTCTCGATAACGTAACAATGGATTGGGACCGGGTATTCTCGAGCCGTAGATGAGACAGATAAATTATCGAAAATCACGGTCTCGAAGATGAAAAATAGCATAACCTCGGCTCGCCGACGGAGAATGCACTCGGTGCTTGCGTTTCGGAGTGCGCTGCCGCTCTCGTACGAGCTCTCGTCTCGGTAAATGCGCGGCGAGCGGCATTTAAGCGCGTCACGGCTGTTAGTAAAAGAGGGCCGGACTCCGGCATTTTTTACAGACGCCAGAAGAGAGCGAGTTACGAGTCAAGGCCGGCTGCACAGGTTGCTCGGTCATGAGAATAGAAATATGAGCGGGCTGCTACGGGTAAGCAGGCATGGCCGTTCGTAATAGTCGCACACCTGAGTAAGCACGCCCCCTGCGCGCGTCCCGATCTCGCAATAATAGGCTTCGAGCTAGTCGCAATCGTTTCTCACAAATCAGCACGATCCACCGGCGCAACCGGCCGGCATGGGCTAATTGCAATAGTAACTTGGCAGCGACGTATGGGTTCGTCGAGGAATAATGATAGAACCGTGGCGGCTGCGGATCATCGCTTAACGGGCAGAACGCCCGGACCGGATTCCGTCCGTAGGAAACGAACGTGCGCGAATTATCCGGCGTTTTTGCGCGCGACGTTCCGGAAAGCGCGCGCATCACTCCGAGTTATTACCGGATACGGCCTGTCCTTTAGCGAATCATCCCTTTTTGCTTTTTTTCCAATTCGAAGCGATATTACTTTTTAGATGTTTTTCTTCGAGTGAAAGGGACAGACGCACAGTAATGCGAGCGATTGGAAAGGTTCGA